AAGTAGGATTGCCCAACCTTCCTTCCGAGGAGTGGCTGGTGGGTTTGAACCGCCAGCCGTCTGGTTAGCAGGCAAGTGCCACGAAATAAAGAAGGGAGCACACCGTACTCAGCGCCCAGACATCCAGCTCCTCTAGGAGAGCCCGCGCGCCTTCCTCCCAGAGTCACTGACGTCACTGGACGTGGCCCGCCCACACCTGTTGGCAACCGAAAGCGTCCGTAGCAGCAGTGGCTGCCGAGATGTGCGAACTTCCGGTTCTTCCGGCAGCTGCCTCCGCTACCGCCTCTTACCACCTGCTACCACCGCTCCTTAGGCCAGGATTCTAGTCTTCCCCAGCGCCGATGATCCCTCCTAGAGTCAGGGCCGCAGGCCCGGCCGCTCTTACGTGCTGAGAGGGCGGTCCGGGGACGATGACAACCCCGTACTGTTGCTGCTTCAGCCATCTCCTGGTCCCCGCCTTCCTGCTACTGCTGCTGCTGCCAGCGTTGAGCGGGCCCATGGTGGTGCTGTTGCTGGCGGCCGAGGCCGCACCGGGCCCCGGGCCACCTGACCCCCGGCCTCAGACACCGTCGTCGCTGCCGCCGGGCTCCACCGCTGCCCAGCCGAGGGCCCGCGCTTCGGCCGAGGCCGCGGGGCCTCGGGCTGCCGAGGGTGGTAATGGTAGCACCCCCCGGGTGGGGCTTGTGGCGGAGGACCACGAAAAGAAGGCCGGAGAAGGAGGCGCAGTGGGCGGCGGCCTTGCTGTGAGCCCCAATCCCGGCGACAAGCCCATGACCCAGCGGGCCCTGACGGTGTTGATGGTGGTTAGCGGCGCCGTGCTGGTATATTTCGTCGTCCGGACAGTAAGGTGAGTCTAGGCCTCTATAGCACCGCCCCCCCGAGCCTGAGAGGGGCCGCCTATTAATTTTCCCTCCAGCGACCCAGGTTACTGTGACCCTCCAATGCTTCTTCTTTGTCCCTTGTAAGAGGAGTGCCTGCCTGAGTCAGCGTGTGAGCGTGAACTTAAACCTCTGTGAAAAAGGTCAAGTTTTGCATTACTATGCGAGTTGTTCCATTTCCTTTATAAAATATTACTCCGCTTAACAAATCTCTTGACGTTGCTTGAGGCCTGCCTAAAGGGAACCTTTATCCTGAGCTGGAAGTAATCTTGTATTCTCCTCAATTTCCGCCTCCCTGGTAGCATAGGGCCTAAGGCACTTGACTGCTAACCAGGAGGCTGGCGGTTCAAACCCACCAGCCACTCCTCGGAAGGAAGGTTGGGCAATCCTACTTCCGTAGTGATACTGCCTCGGAAACCCAAGGAGGGGTCGCTATGAGTTGGGCCGACTCGACGGCAAATAACAACAACAACAACATCGTGATACGGAGCTCTGGTAGCATAGTGCCTAATGCATTTCACTGCTAACCAGAAGGGTGGCTGTTCAAACCCACCAGCCACTCTTCGGGAGGAAGGTGGGCAATCTACTTCCATAGTGATACTGCCTCGGAAACCTAAGGAGGGGTCGCTATGAGTCTTATCTGACTCCAGGGCAGTGAGTTTTGTTTTGTTTTTTTATCTCGTGATACTCTCCCTTTAGATGCTATATATTGTTGCGTACCTAACATTTTATTTTATTTTCAGAATGCAAACGTCTTGAAGGCAGGTTTCCTATTTATTTGGAGTTGTAAATCCGTTGCACAATACTGTCAGTAAGAAATAAGATTTATTTGAGTGGGTTAATAGTAATGTAGAAGTGTTTTATCATAGGTATTGTATTTATAAAATTTAGCATCCGACTTATAGCGACCGCTCCTTGGGTTTCCGAGGTGGTGTCTCTACGGAAGCAGATTGCCCAGACGTTCTTCTGAGGAGTGGCTGTTGGGTTTGAACCGCCAGCCTTCTGGTTAACAGTCACATGCCTTATCACTATGCCACCAGAGCTCCCTTATAAAATTTAGAAAAAGAAAGTTTCTTCTTTACCAGCACTGTTTTTCATTATTGGTCTCTTATCTGTCATACAAGTAATTAGGTTGTACCATACAAAGTTGCCTATTTTCACTTTTTTTTTTTTTTAAACCTAGGAAAGTGAAAGATTTTGTATTAAGTTCAACCTAATATATGTCATTGTATCACATTAATCAGAAACGTTTAGCATTCATTCTTCATGGCACAAAGTATTTCAAAGCAAAATGTTATCAGTTGCATAAACAAAAAAATTCACTGTCATGGAGTTGATTCATAGCAACCCCATTGGGTTTCCAAGGTAGTAATTTTTACCGAAGTAGATTGCCCAGTCTTTGTTCTGCAGAGCGGCTGGTGGGTTTACTCGATGGCAGTGAGGTTTTTTTTTTTTTTTTTAATGCAATTGATAACATTTTGCCTTGAAATACTTTGTGCCACAAAGAATGAATGCTAAACGTTTCTGATTAATGTGGTACAGTGACAATAATTAGGTTTCACTTAATATAAAATTTCATGGTAAGGTGGTCAACTGATCTGATAAAGGAAAGAAAAATTATGTTAGATATATTAATCAAGTTTTAATATTGGAGGAAATGTTTAATATAGTAACAAAACTATGAGTGTATCTCACTTAAACCTAAGTTTAAGATCTATGTAACTTAGGTTTAAGTAAGATATACTTGTGGTTTACTGTGTTAGTATAAGTTAAATTTGGGTGGTGGGGCTAGTTTTAGTTCAAAGTGGTCGTTTTAATATTGAAATCTTCTGGGTGTAGGCCAGATGCCTTAGGTTAAGCTACACTTTGAATTATCCACTTAGGTTTAGTGCCTAAGGCACTTGATTGCTAACCAGGAGGCTGGTGGTTCAAACCCACCAGCCACTCCTCAGAAGGAAGGCTGGGCATTCTACTTCCCTGGTGATACCACCTCAGAAACCCAAGGAGGGGTTGCTATGAGTTGAGTCTGACTCCAAGGCACATAACAACAAAACAACAACAACAATGTGGGGCAGTTATACCTGACCTGTAGGGTCACTATGAGTGAGAATCGACTCAGTGACAGTTGGTTTGGCTTTTGTGATTAAATTTACTTACAAAACTCTGGATTAGTAAATGAATAAGTTAGATATTTCACACAGAAAAAAACCCTTCTAAAACGTATTCATCTTTAAATATTAATTCTTTAAGTCATTTAAAAGTTTAAATTTATCAAAAAATAATATAGCTTTTTGAACCTGTATTTCCTAAGGAATGATAGATTATGGAATCATTTAACTTTCAGATTTAGAACAGATATTATCACTTGAATGACACATTTTACTTTATAAATGAGGAAATATGCCCAAGAAAGGCAGAATGATTTGCCTGGTACCACATGAGGTCTAATCATATATACAATTGTACAGTCCACTGATTACTTTGTATATATGTTGTTGTTGTTATTTGCCACCAAGTGGGACCCAATTTATAGCAACCCCTCCTTGGGTTTCCAAGGCGGTATCACTATGGAAGTAGATTCCCCAACCTTCCCTCTGAGGAGTGGCTGGAGAGAGGTATCTGTGTTCTGGCTCATATATGACCAACTTTTTGATTAAGCAGACTATAATATTGAAAATACTATGTTGTAAATGAAAACTTGATTGTCACTTAGGTTTTCACCACCTTAGCAAGTAGACAAGGAATTATTTAAGCTATATATATTTAGTGATATTTGTTGTTGTAATCAATAACTTATATTTGATACATCCCCTTGTCACTGAAGTAAAATTGTTGTATAGTATTAATCATGATATTAAAATATGATAACAATGTAATAAGATTGATTTTTAAAAATCTGTAATTTTTGCTGGGTGTTGCCTATCTTTTCCAAATCATATGACGTAGTAGAACTGCCTCGTAGAGTTTTCTTGGTTGTAATCTTTTTGGAAGCAGATCACCAGCTCTCTCTCCTGAAAAACTACTGGGTGGGTTCAAACCACCAACCTTTTCCTTAGCTGCTGAATGTTTAATGGTTGCGTTTTTTTAATGTGGGTTAGTTGGGACCCCCTCTCTGAGGATTTGACATATAAAGCCAAGTACTCAGCCAAGAAATGAGCTCATGGACAGCTGTCTTGGCAGTTTCTGTAAGTAGGGGTTGTTGTTGTTGTTATGTGCCGTTGAGTCGGACCCTACTCATAGTGACCCCTCCTTGGGTTTCTGAAGGCAGTATCACTACGGAAGTAGATTGCCCCGTCTTCCTTCCGATAAGTAGGGGTAGGTATGCAGAATTAGACTGGTTCTTTGTTTACCAAACTACTCTCTTATATTTTTTGTTATAACTACCTAGTCTCTGTACTATTATTTAGTACATTTTAAAATTATTTAAAAAGTTTCCTCTTAAACATGTCTATTAATTATTATTATGAATGTAAAACCTACATCAGTTGGCTTAAATAGCTGATATGAAAAGTACAGCATTAGCCTATGGTTGTCAATGGGCAGTGAAGAGAACCTTGGGGGAGGGTAGTCCCTGAGACCTCTTCAGGAGATTTGCAAGGTGAAAAGTATTTTCAAAATAATGCATTCTCTTACAAGTTTGTAATGGAGTACAAAAAGTTCATCGATAGCATTTCAGAGTCTACTAATCTTAAAGGAACTTTTTGTAGTGTCAAAAAAAGATTAACCACTGATATTTGAAAAGGCTGTTAAATGCTCCTCCGTTTTCAAAGTTTTTATCTATGAGATGCTGGATTTTCTTCATTATCCTTCAACCAGACAACACATTGCAAAAGACTGAATGAAGCAGCAGATGTGAAACTCAGCTGTTTTCTCTCAAGTCATACATTAAAGAGACATGTCAAATGCATAAAATACTACTCTTCTCAACATGGTTTTTCTTTTTGAGATAATAGTTATTTTTATATTTTATATTTTTATAAAGAGCCCACGTAGCACAACGGGTAAGTGCTTGGTTGGTTCTTAGCTGAGAGGTTGGCGGTTCAAACTCACCAGGCCCCTCAGTGGTAGAAAGACCTGGCTGTCTACTGCTGTAAAGATCACAGCCTAGAAAACCCTGTGAGGCAGTTCGACTCTGTCACATGGGGCTGCTGTGAGTCAGAATCGACTGTGTGGTACCTCACAAGTTGTAAAGCTGTTTGAGCATGGAATGGATTTATTGTTATTTTAAAGCAATTGATAAATATTTTTAAATTTTCTCAGGTTTCATTAATATGTATGATGTTGATATGTAAATAGTTCAAATGCAAAAAGATCTTTGGGGTCCTCAGTTTTTGAGAATGAAGGAATCCCAAGGCTAAACCACTACTATAAACAAGAACCACTACTATAAACAGTATTATTTGAACTAGAAATGATTGGTTTATTTACGTCAGCAAGTCCGGGAACCTCTGTTAAAGAGGAATTTAGAAAATATTTGGGAGTTCTCGAAGACATCTTAACACCAAACTGACTTTCTTTTTGTTATAAAAAATATTAAAGAAAATTAAAACAAATTCTATTCTCACTATATAATTGAGTGTTACTTATAGTTGTCTGTATAGTTCTTAGATATCCAACATGCTCTGAGTATATTGTTTCTTATATATGGACCTTATAATTTTTTTTGGCATGTCCCTTTTTTTTTTCCCCCTCTTTATGTGCTTGTATACAGATGATTATTGTCTTTGATTTTCTGTTTTCATTGCTGTAATGCTTGAAATGGTATAGTCTTTTCAGTCAGATTCTATTAGATGACTCAGTAACATGTTGTGTAGTTAACAGCCAAGTTCTGAACTATGGCTAAAAAAAGCTGCATTCTTTAACAGCATCTAACACATTCATGCAGTCCAAGTCCTAAAATTACTTGGCTCCCTGACATCAAAAGCTTCATTAATGCTAACGGTGTCTGGACAGTATTCAAAACTGATGT